CCTCACAAGCACTTCCCAGGGGCTTCTGTGGGGGAAAGGGGCACCAGCAACATCCTGGGGAGGAGAGAAAAACTCCACAGGGCTACGTACCAAACCACACAGCAGCGTGGTGCATGGTCCAGAGGGGATCTTGGTGTAGAACAGCAGCTGGATCCCCTCCCTGGGTTAAACCCTTTGGATTTAACAGCCTCTCCCCCTGAAAAAAAAAAGCGAGGTCAGACTGTTGCTGCCCCCGTGGGCGTAACAACCAGCTCCAGTCAGGCAGAATGTCCCGAGAGCAGCCTGTCTGGCCAGCCAGATCCAAACAGCGCAGCCACAGCTTGCTGCTGCCAGTTTTCCTGGCCTTTTGCCCCATGTGTTGATTTTTTTTATTATTTCCTTGCAGTTCTGTGTAACACACGACAGACCAGCCAGCAAATCTAGCAAGGATAGGGGAAAAATGGGGCATTTGAACCACTCTGGGCTGGCTGACTTCTGCCACCCACGATGGAAAGCAGCCTCGCTCCTCGCGTGGCTCCGCTCGCTCCAGATGGTTGGTGTCAGCTGCATCTCACAGATGTCCTGGGCACCTTACCCTCTCGAGTGGTGAATGAACCTGGCTGCTCACAGAAATGAGCCTGTCAACCTTCCTGTGCTTTCTTGGCTCTTTTTCCCCCCGCTGAGCTGCTTCCCCCACCCCACGTTGTGTTTAGGAAGTGGTGCTGGTTCTGGTGAGCTGCTGGGTCAGGCAGGGTGATGCTGCCCCTTGCAAGGAGGAACATGTGTGTGTTTGAGCCTGAACCGAGGAGGGGTTTTGCATCAGCTGTGGGGACAGGAGCTTTTCACTGGCCTCACCCTGGTGTCCTTTCCTGAGCCCTGCCTTGCTTTTGTACTCTTCCAGTTCCCAGACGAGACCCTCCGAAGCGGCGAGCTGCTGAACATGATTGTAGCTGTCATAGACTCATTCCAGGTAAGGAGGGGACTGGTGTCTGGAGTGGGAGGCAGCATGTTCCTGGAGTGGCAACACTTATCTCCTCCATTTTTAGGAGGTTTAAACCTGAAATGACCCATCTGCGGGGGATGCTCTGCTTCTTTAGTCCTCCTTGTCCCCATTCTTGAGTGAGGCTTTGCAAAGAGGAACCCCAAAACCTCTGGGTATCTCTTTTTCCTTGAGGAACTGTGATGTGTGGTGTCAGAAAGCTGAATCCAAGCTGCTTCTTGAAGGCATCTCCCTGTCCCCCAAGCTGCAGCAGGCATGCCAAGAGATCAGCCTGGGTTTGCTCTGATGCCTCTTGAGCTGCAGATGTTGGTGAAAAGCACCACCATGGCCAGCACTGCTCCAGGCATTAATATAAATAATAATCATAGAATCAT